TAGGCAACCTTGTGAATTCCTCACAACTCCCCCTCACTAGATATCTCAATATTCACTATTACAATCTCTCCAAAACACTCACACTCAGTGAATACTCTCAAGATAAATTCATAGCAAAGGTCTTGAGTATCAAATTTTAGGACTTCTTATATATAAACACAAGAAAAAACCATCCAAACAACTAAATATTATAAGTGAACTGACATCAGATCATATAGTTCAATAATTAATCACTATATAAATAGTTCAAAATCTTGGAATGATTATATACAAACCTAATATCATATACTATTAGTCATCTGTATGAATTGACATTGTATTATACAAATAGTTTAAAACTGAATGTATTCGTCTAGTATAATATGGTGCGAACCTTATTTCTTACAGTATCAATCATCTGTACAAATTAACACCGTACAGTATGAATAGTTAATAAAAATAATGCCTCATCCAGTATGAATATGGATGAACCCATTTGTGCCATCTGTTATCCATCTGTACGAACTAATATCGTATAGTACAAGTGGTACACAAATGAATGATTTTGTTTTGGATAAACTAGTACGAACCTTATTTTGTACACTATTAGTCATCTGTACGAACAAACATTGCATAGTTTGAACAGTATAAAAATAAATTAATTCATTTGAGAAAAATTAGTACAAACCCGATTTTGTACACTATCAGTCATCTATACAAACTCAAATCGTACAGTACAAACAGTTCAAAAATATAAGTCATGATTTGATTAACTGCATTTTGAAGGAAAAAATATGACAAATTATACAGTACAATTGTAAGTTGTACATTATAATTAGTTTTAAAATTTTATGTTTTGACTCTCTTCCCCTAGGTGTGTGTGCACGGTTACCAAATAACGATCACACTCTCTAAGACTCAAGAAAATAAAAATTAAAGATTTAAAAACTTTATTACATGACATCCTAATCTACTATATCTTAAAGTCTTCAACAATCTGGAGTATAATTTCCCTAAAATATTAGTACACACAAACAACAAATAAAAAATGTCCATTACATTCTTGGAAAAATATTACTATCATAAAAAATTACAATCTCAATTTGGATTCTTGAGTTACAATAGATTTTGGATCAAATTTTACTATAGGAGATTTCCAATGTATCATAATGAAATATTTATATCCAAAGATGTGAATTTGAGAAAGATTGGGTTTTCTACCCTCAAGTGCCTTATAGTTAGTCTTATTATAGTTGGATCTAAGATTTACCCTAATTAAACCATAACAAAAAATTTTAACTACTTCATCCCAAAAATATTTAGGGAGTGAGTATTCTACTAATAATCCTAGCAGCTTCTATTAGGGTTCTACTCTTTCATTTAGCTACTCCATTATGTTGAGTGGTTCTAAGGCTAAAAAATTATATTCTATACCTTGCACCATACAAAATGATTCAAACCTAACATTTTTAAATTCTCCATAATGATCCATATGGATAGCTAATACTTCACATCCTAACTTTCTTTGGATCTAAGTGTGGAAATTCTTAAATTCTTTGAATGATTTACTTTTATGTACTAGGAATCAAAACCAAGTGAATCAAGAAAAATTATCTACAATCACATACCCAAAGGTCTATCCACCTAGATTGGTTGTACTTCTCAATACAAACAAGTACATGTGAAGAATTTTTAGTGGTCTAGAAGGGATGATGACTTTAATGGAATTAAATGAAGTTTTGATTTGTTTTCCTAATAGGCATGCATCAAGAAGGTGATCTTTAGAAAAATATAAATTGGGTATGTGTCTAATTAGGTATTTCTAGGTGATCTTCTTAAGAGTTTTCATACTGGAATGACATAGTCGCCCATGCCATTGACAAGATCCATCAACAACATACTTTAAACATAGAGAAATCAAATAGTAAACATAATTCAAATCAAGCATGTAAACATTGATAATTAATTTATCTTCTAAGATGATTTTTCCATTTAAGATAATTAAACATTTAGTAGAAAAAATTTGATATCAGAATTTTTAACACATATTTAGCTAATACTAAGCAGATTGTGTTTCAAATAGATTGTGTTTCAAATCGTCTACTATCCTCATTACTTCATTCAGTAGTTTAAGCATTTAGCATTGAGTTTAGTCTCTATCCTCATTACTTCATTCAATGAAAGGTGTTTCTATTTTAATTCCATTGACAAAATGAAAGGGTGAAGAATAACCCTCTCAGATCATATGCCATAAACAAAAATTAATAGATTTCAAGAAAGTAGATATGCATATTTAAAATCGCATAGCAGAAACTTGCCGGCTTTATCAGCGCCATAAATCTCGTTTGGTTAAAGTATGCGGCGGTATGCCTGTGTGTGTTCGATGTGCATAATCTTATTCTAATTTTGTAAAATTGTTATTATAACGTTCTAAAAAGATTTAGTTCTAAATCTTAATTTTTTTTTTGGGAAAAATTGGGGCTTTGCCCGTATATTGAGATATACCAAAATTTGTGGAAATTACAAGTAAAAGTCAGGCATAACTTGACCAGAGACCCAAATCACCAACACAGATCAGCCGATCCTAAACAGAAAGGAAAAAAGCTCAAAAAGGAAGAAACAAAATCCAACAGGACTTAGAAATTACATAACCAGTACATGGACATAAAGATCATCAGCGCAGGCAGCTCAAATGTCCAAGGCCTGAAGGGTCATCAAGAATAGTCCTCCCCGGTTGCCAATCGAAGAAGTGAAAAGGAGAAGCAGGGTGCATCAAACAAACACGAGAAAGCAACAACTCCAATGGCCGTCCAGAGGGAGGAAGGCACAAACTGGTTCTGATCATCATCATCCAGCGAACAAAACCACCCACCAGACAAATTAAATGAAGCAAGACGGGAAAGAAGAGTGAAGCAGGGAAACATTCTTCTTCCCAGACCTTTTCTGATCAATAGCCAATACAATTTTCTGGCACAAAACTTGATAAGTAGTGAAATATCCCGAAAATCTTCTATCATTGCGCTCCCTCCATAGAAAATAAACCACAGCACAAATAACAAAAAAACAAAAATCTTTCTCCATCTTGCTGTATAGGCATAATTCATCCAAAAATTCGAACAACTGTTAGAGAGTAGGTCTAAACAAAAAGGAGTCCAGCACGGGCAACAGATGAGTAATGACGCCATAAGAGTAGTCACATTGAAAAAACATATGGGTGCTGTTCTCATGCTCTAGATGGCAGAGGGAGCAGTTGGGATCAATAATAATATTCCTCTTCGCTAAAATGTCCGCTAATTTTAAACCACCATAAAGTAAAAGCCAGGTATAAGAGGAGAATCTGAGTGCTTTGTGAGGATGCCATATAAATTTAAACCATCTCACCTTATCCCTACCCGTGAAATAATTCAAACAGTAAGTTTTAAATGAAGGCTTGCAGCAGTCTTTCCAACATAGAGCATCAGTTAAAGTATCCTGAATCAGAATGACATTGAAAAGTTGTAGAATATCAGGAGGAATCGAATTGGGCAGTGACCAGTGATAAGTCCAGTAATTCGAAAAATTCCCTAAGAGAACAGGGTTAGGAGAGAGCATATCAGCCAGAGCTTTACCATTAATCCACGGGTCCCAAAAGAAGGAAATAGAATTGCAATTGCTAACAGTGATAATAAATTGAATATGCCCTTTAATCTTATGTGCAACCTCACAGATGTACTTCCAGAATTTTGAGTGTCTAGCAAGCGATGGTTTCCAGGGGGAAATATATCTAGACATGAACCAATCAGCCACCACAGAGGCTGAGTTGTAAAGTCTAAAAATGAAAGAACAAGCAAAGCCATGAGTGAGTGAAAAAAGGTCAGGAATACCAAGCCCACCGAGAGAGGTGGGTAAGCAACGCCAAGCCACAAGGTCCAATTTCTTCCCCTCAATAGAACCATGAAAGAGGAATCTAGAGCACATTCTATCAATATGTTTGTAACAAGCTTTGGGTATTATAGCTCCCCTAATCCAGTACACAATTGTATTAGAGATGGAAAACTTCAGAAATTGTACACGACCTGCAAAAGAGAGAAACTTTACTTTCCAGCCAGCAAGTAGAGCAGAGATTCTACTCAGTAGTGGATGGAAGTTAGCAGAATTAATCATTTTGATGGAGATAGGGAGGCCCAGGTATTTTAAAGTGTGGTCAGAGGAGGAGAAACCAAGAATATTGGTGATATCATTGGAAATAAAAAGGTTTTTAGAGAAGAGAATAAAGCATTTAGAGTTATTGGTGTGGAAGCCAGAGGCAGAACCAAAGTTGTAAAGGATATTCGAAAGCTCAATAGCATTGGGAATAGAGGCCTCTCCAAAAACAAGAACATCATCGGCGTAAAGTAGGTGGGTAATATGACTCGACCCACAAGGAACCCCCAAGAAAGAACCACCATCAAGAGTGCAAGAGAGAGCATCCATGACAATGGCAAAAAGAAGAGGAGATAAAGGGCAACCTTGCCTAAGGCTAGCCGAGGAAGTGAAGAAGCCAACAAGAGCACCATTAAGACAGATGGAATAGGGTACATCAGAAATATAGTTCTTAATCCAAAAGATAATTTTTTTTAGGAAAGCCTTTCTCCCTCATTCTTCCAATGAGAAACTCCCAAGAGACCAAGTCAAATGCCTTCTTAATGTCTAACTTTGCGCAGAAAAAACTTCTTGGAACCCGCCTCATTGTAATCCTTAAGAATCTTATTGGCAAGGATGATATTATCATAAGAGATTCTCTTACAAATGAACCCCGCTTGGCTTTTGTGGATGATATGGGGCAACACAACTTTCAGATGATTGGCAAGGATCTTTGCAATGATCTTATAGAAGACATTGCAAAGAGAGATAGGGCGATAGTCTGAGATGTTGGAAGCATGGGGGTGCTTGGGAATTAAAGCAATAGCCGTGGCTTTGGCACTTCTAGGCAGGTGCCCAGTAGAGAAATAATTTTTGACAGCATTAATCGCATATAAGCCAATGATCTCCCAAGAACCTTTCTATAATTCAAAAGAAAAGACATCGGGTCCAGGGGCAGAGGCAGACGGGCCTCCAAAAATAGCCTGCTTAATTTCAGCATCAGTCACATTCTCCAGTAAAAATTCGGTCAGATGGGAAGGAAAGAGATCCCCACGGCAAAATTGAGCCTGAGAATAAATTTGGGACATAGGGGGATTGTAAAGCTTTTGAAAATACCCACAAATGACCTTAGCAATATCAGTAGGAGAATCAAAGTGACCATCATCAGTACAGATTTTATTGATCCTAGAGGAATTAGATCTAGTGTTGATGCGAGCATACAAAAAACTCAAGTCGTCTTCCCCATAACTTAGCCAATTGGCCTTAGCTCTTTGAAAGATCCAAGAGCACCAAGCCCCATTCAAATGTGCAATATTCTTGTTAATGGTCTTCAACGCAGAATTGAGGGCAGGATCCAGAGGGTTGCGTTGAAGGGATTCAATACAATCCTTTTGATAATGTACCATAGCCTCTAGCTTGTTCTTAATGAAGTGATCAGTGGACCAGTTAGTCAATTTAAGATTAGCCTTCAACACTTTCAACTTACCATACAAGTTTGCGATTAGGCTCCCACCATGATGAGTGGAAAAAGAAGAAATAAGAACATCCCAATACTGATTTAACTTCAACCAATAATTTTTAAATTGAAATCTCCTATCCAACGAGGAGGGTTGGCCAGCCATAAGAATGAGAGGGGAGTGATCAGAAACGCCCGGGGGAATCACTTTGTAATAAGAAAGAGGAAAGGTTTCAAGCCATTTATGATTCACCAGCATTCTATCCAACTTTATGTTAATTGGGTCATTGGCATGCCCATTAAACCAGGTATATTTCAAACTAATAGAATTAAGGTCAATAGTACCAGAGCTAAAAATCCACCCATTTAATTCCTCAAGTCTACTGAAGCGAGAAGGATTACCACCAGATTTTTCCTTCGCATCTCTGTAACAATTTAAGTCCCCCATGATGATCTAGGGAGAGGAGATAGATTCTGCCAATTATTGGAGTTGATGCCACAAAGGCTTTCTTTCCATAGGAGTATTGCCTGCATACACGACGGAAAGAAGAAAAGAAGTTGATGGACCAAAGGATAAAATGCCGTGAATTAACTGGGCGCTAGTAATGAGAGGAGAGAAGGAAGTGAAAGACTCAAGGACAGTAGGACACCAAGAGGACTTTTAGATAAGAATAAGATATCCAGCTACCCACCTGGGCAGTATAATAATTACAATGCCCTCCTGAAGAGATTACTAATGGAGGACCCTGCCTTGAGGAAGGGCCTGGGCGCCCTATTTTATCTTGGAGATTAGCCTTCAATCTAACCAACACTCGGTCAGATAGGCAGCTTCTAGAAGGTTTCTAAGTTGATCCCCACTGTCCGTTTCAAATAAAGCACCTAGACTTATAGAGGTATACCACGAAATAGTTTACAGCAATCGTGGCTGGTATTAGCTTCTACTTGTAGATTGGTTTCATTGCCTGCTAATCTATTATTGGGTCTTAGTTATACTTGAATCTTATCCCTCTGTAGCCCATAAGTGTAAAGGTACATCTGGTATATACTAATCCTCTAAGGATGTGTCTCAAACTTGACTTGCAGTGGTGATTATCATAACTCTGACTTAGGTAACAACTTTATTAGCACTACACCCTCACCACCAGTATGACTGGCCCTTTAGTCCTGGAAAGCCCAAGTAGAGCTCTTTATCTCTATAAGCCTGTCGGTGAAGTACTACCTAAGTTTCCGAGCTGGCCTGTCCCCATAAATACCCTGGGTACCTAATCCCTTCCGGTGAATGCCCAAAGCACCATAGCTTCTACTGTTTGTGATTCCAATTTGTCTTTATTGACTCCATGCCTCCATTATGTACTTCTGCGTTCCACTTAAGCCAAATCCGGCCCGGAGAAGAAGCAGTGAAATTGTTACAGCTAAGCTCGTTGGGGAACACCTTATGGGTGTTGACAAACCAAGGTTCAAGAAGGTAGTTGGAAGAAATATTGGCTTCCAAAATGTATAAAACGTCAAGATGATAAGAAGCGGCCAAATTCTTAGAGGCTAGAACCTTTTCCGGTTTGTTGAAGCCCCGGATGTTCTAGCAGCCAATCGATGGAAGCATCATTTGGACTTAGAAGAGGGTTGTTGTGCTTTCTTAGTACCTTTTGATCTTGTTGATTTGGCATGTTGAGATTTTTGAGATTGTCCTGTGTCTGGCAAGATTACAACTTTCAAACCCTCAGGCTCCGATTGTTCCGGCTCATCCATCAAAATAGAGAATTTGTTAGGTGAGGCCGAGACAGTGGCCTTTTGACGGCTTCTTTCAAAGGAGGAACGCTTTAGGGTGCTTTGTGAAGTGGAGCTTTCACTGATATCGGCATTAGTCTGTGCTTTAAAGGTAGGAAATTTATCTGAGGAAGAGGATTCTTCTACAGGGAAGTTAAGATTAGGTATGGTATCATTAGTAATAGAGGGTGGAGTGTCAGTAGGGGAGGAGCTAGATTACGCTAAGCGAGGAGGGTTAAGGCTTTCAGGTTCGGTTTGAGTGGTAGGGTATGGAGTAGAAGTATAGTCAGGTAGGGCCGAGCTACCAGGAACAGGGAGGGAAGCAGAAGGTAAGGTGGCAAGAAGAAGCTTAGCAAGAATGACAGAGGAGGGTAGGAGAGCAGGGTTTAAAGGTGAAGCAATACATGAAGATGTAGGTAAAGGATGCTTAGCATTGAGCACAGCAGGGCGAGTACGGCTTGAACTTATACCCCTATTAGAGGCCAGCGGCGGTGGTTTCGGTGTCGGATTTTTATGACAAAGATTGGAGGGATGGACGAGAGAGCCGCATCCAACATAGAGCGAAGGCTTCCAGTCGTATAAAACCGTGAGGGAAAAATCATCACCATCCATGGAGATAGGTATTTCATCAGGAAAAGTAGATTTCGCATCGACCATGACACATACACGAGCATATGTGAGGCGAGTTTTCCGGGCCGTGAGGGCGTCCACTGCCACCGGCCTGCCCATGAAACTGGCGATTTTTGAGATACCCATAGGGTTCCAAACTGCTAATGGAAGATCCAAGATCTTAATCCAAGTAGGGATGGAATCACATTCCTCCCTCTTTGGCTTGAATTTGGGATTCCATTTTTGGAGAATGAAAGGTTTACCATTCCGCCCTCTTTGGCCTGACCAAGCGGCCTCATAATCTTTCGGCAGTGAAAATTTGAACAAGAAAAAACCGTCGTTTAGAGAAAGAAGATCAACCGAACCTTTTATTCCCCAAAACTTTTTTATCACATTTTGCAAGCTAAGATAGGTCGGTCTGGGCCCGACCGAGTAGCCGATGAGAGAGAGGCCCCAATCTGGAATGCCAAGACTGAGATCTTCAGCTGAGAATGGAATGCGTTTCAGTGGGTCGATGAAAGAAACATTGAAAGAGCTAGCCACAGGATCATGGTGAGTAAGGTTAGAGATGAAGTTAAGGTTGGAAGGGGTAGAGCCAGAAGGTGCCACAACACCCGGGAGAGGGGGGAAATCCATTTGGTAGGAAGATGAGGCCATGGTGGAGCAAAGGGGAGAGGAAAATCTCTCCCACCATTCGGCCTAAAGCTTACTAGTTCAGGTGTCTAATAAATTCTAGAACAAAATGTAATGGTTTTTTAATGATGTTCTAGTAAAGGTTTAAACATAGTCCACTAGCCAATAATAATTTTAATTCATTTGGGTCATCCCAACTTCTTGACCCAAGTCTACCAAGGGACTAGGCTAATTGGGTTTAATACATAGGGACTAGGGGCATTTAATACAAGTTTTAGTATAGTCATATTTCACTTCGATTATAAGTTAGCTCAATGAGAATCTTATTTGACTACTTAGGTCAAGCCATGTGGCTATCCCAAGTAGACCTAAGGGTTGTGTTTATTAGGGTTAGTCCTTGAGGACCCAATAAATAGTCTTAAGAGTTTTGGAGGCTTTGAATTGGTATAAAAAATTAGAATTCATGTTTAGGAGCTTTAGGGTTTATTTTGTCAACCAAGGTTGACATAATCAATCAAGATTGATAAATCCATAGGGTTTGATCTAATCCACTCCTAATGACATTTTAAATTTATTAGAAGTGTTCTTATGCAAGGAAAGGTTAATCTATGAAAAGGTTTATGCAAAATTCATTTATTATAATTACTAATTCTAAAGTTTATAAGGTTACATTGCTAATTCTAAATCTGGCTCTTGGTTGGTGCAGACTATGAGAAAATAGATAAGGGAATAAGCCTTAATGGTCAGTTTTGGTGTATAGATGATTCATAATTCATTGAGCTCTATAGACTATTTAAGTAATCATCTAGAGTGATCTGGTTTAGTCAAAACTACCATAAAAGGATGATTGGTTACCACTTGGATGGAAAGGACCTAGAAGCAAGGTAATAATAATGAGTGCCTGTGCAAGTTTTTCTATGATGGGATAACCTTGCTCAATGCCTTAGAGCATAAATCTCATATAGTAGACGGGGCATTACTTTTTCCCTTCTTCTTAAATAAGTTATAAGGAACCCTATAAATTTGTATGAATCTTGTTTAAAGGTGCACTTAAAAGGATTTAGCCTCATGTTATATTTTTTAAAGGAGAGGAATGTGTCTCAAAGGTATTTGATTTGGCTGGGAAATTGGCTCTTAACCAAGTTGTCATCTACACTTGTTATTTAATCCCTTATATTCTTTAAAAATTTGTATATCATCCTTTGATAAGTGGCTCTAGAGATCATCACCCAAAGGGTACGAATTTGTAATAATATAGTCCTTCTATTATGATAAAATTAATTTTCTCACAATCTTCGTGGTGCATCTTGATCTGGTGGAAGCCTGATAAGGCATAAATAAAGCTCATTACATGATAGTCTACTATGAGGTCGACTAAGGCGTCGATCATTTGAAGGTTGGTATCCAGCTTTGGGGCATGTTGAGTTAACATTGGTGAGTTATATACACATTCTCCACTTGTTTGTTTTTTTTTTCTACACCATCAGCATTTTAGATATATAATCTAAATATTGAACTTTCTTGATGAAGTTGGCGATGAGTAGATTTTCTACTTCTTCCTAGATGGGTTTAGCGAGTAAAGTTGTAATTTTTTTAATATTCTATTCAAAGAGATGAGATTCCTTTTTCATGTTTAGCTAATGGCATTTGACTATCTCACTGATGCCTAACATTTTTGCTCTCTTCCACAGAATACTTCAAGATTATTACAGAGAATTTATTCTAACTCATCTCAATGTTCTCCAATGAAGGAAGTGCTAATTTTGAGATTTCTACCCATGTTACTTTCTATTGAGCATAATTCTTTGATGGTTTTAGTAACTTCTATGCTTGGACCTCATTCTACATCCAGGTTAAGAATTTCTTCAAATGTGCTTATTAAACCTATTGCTCACAAGTAGACGGTGCATACTAAATTAGGTCACCCGACACCATGATTTATCTTCCTATGGTATTAAATTTAATGGCAATGTGGTATGTAGATACCACATCACTAAAGGTGTTTAGAAGTGGCCTGCTAAATATGGCTTTGTAGGTTGCAAGAGTATTGATGATGAGGAACTTTTCCAGAGTTAAATATTGTTGATCTCTTATGTCTCAAATGATAGGTAGCATGATTTCTCCTTCAGTCTCTCAATGCTTTCCAAAGAATCCATAAAGGGGTCCCATGGTTGGAGCAAGCTAAGAATAAAGAAAAATTATCTTATTGAAGATGATCTTAAAGATGATATTGGATGAGCTCTCTGTGTCTATCAATATGCTACCAATTTGATAGTTAGTAATTAGGGTTGTGATGACTATTACTTCATAGTGTAGATTTCCCCTGGTAAGTTCACTATGCCACTAAAAGTGATAGGTGTGTCATTAATAAATAGTGAGAATGTCGTTGAATGGAATTCTATGACTTGTGGCTTCTTACTAGGTGCAAGTGTGTCTCCATGT